AAATATTGAGATAAAAATTAATTAGGCGTTGTGTGTTCAGACATATTAAATTTAATTTAACAACTAAACTCTATCATTAAAAGGTGTAACGTTAAACCACCTCTTATCATCACACGTAACCAACCGAGACGTTCTCAAATGCACGACACAGGACGCATTTGTACAATTGGCCCGTGTGTTGAAAGCGTGGTTAGCTTAACAACACATCAACATAACGATATGATCCGAATAATTAAAAGCTTAGAAAATGAAATATAAAACAACATAGATATGAAACAATCCAATACGATGCCAAGATCAGAAAACACAATTGCATTTGTAAATTTTATTCAGAAGATTGAATTTCAAAGAGCATCATAATCAGCTCATCAAACAAATAACACTTTGAACAACCGAACAAAATTCGAAATACTTGAAATGTGTTTTGATGATATTGGCAGCTTGCGGCATCGTTGCAATTTCAACAATAAAGGCACATGGATCAAAACCTCGGGTACATACCGTTATTGTAATAGCTCGCACCTGATTGTACTTCGACGGGCATGATGACGCCTCTTCATTATTTTGTATCACATCATTTGTATCTGTATACAACGATTGACCTGGTCAAATTGTAAGTTAATAGTACAATATTCAGTTTTTATATTGTAATATACACCGGCGTTTCTAAATTAAACTCCTATACTGTTATATCATTCGTGTTTATATTTGGATTACTCATACTTGGTTAATTTTAATACGTATACACATTTCCTTTACTGTCCACTTTAAGGGAAGCAGGCGTTTAATGCCACTCCAATAACCCAGGTGGAGTTTTAAATTGTCTAGGAAGGATGTTGCGTAATCTGTGCTGTATCATTCAAGTGAGGTGGCAGTATAAATGATACCGTTAAAAGCATGGTCCCACTACAAACAGATTACAATACATATCTTGCACACACGCAGACAAAAAACACACAGGGGGATATTAGCCAGGTGGCATAAGACTAGCACTTAATTCCTGGTAAAGCAGCAACTCGACCTACTCAATAATTGTATTGATTAATGCATATGCTAATTGTATTTCTATGTACTGTAAGGTGCTTAAATGTGGCTTATTCTAGCTAGATAGGGCGCTATGTCAAATCTTGTATATTATTTTAGTAATTATTTAACGTCATTATCATGAACAATTGTATATTCATGGAAAACGTTCATTTGTTGT